TCTGTGGTGTGAAAGCATCCAGTATAAGGGTTTCTCTATCTGCCGGCACAGCAGTGTTACGCACCAATAGGATCTAGAAACAGGATAACAGTCTCTGTTAAATAGTTTTCAAAATGTGACATGCTGAAAATTGTATAAAATTACTAAACACATTAGAAACCAATACAATGAGGATACATGTAGTACATATATGTCAGCAATATACACTAAATGGCTGACAGACGGCCATTTTAAATGAAATTATGAAACATACACATAAATGTATGATTTTTATACTACATTCAGATGAAACCTGTTATACTGTCAATGATAAATACTACAGTAGTACCGTACTCGACCGCGTTAGTGCCCATGCTCGGTCAAGCGCCCACCCCCACTTTTATGCAATTTTTATATTCGGGGTCACAAAATGCCAATAATTTATCGTTTTTATAAGATACAGCGTGGATATCGACCGCCGTGCGTAAACTACACTTTGACAATGATCTGTTAATAAAAGTAAAATGCAGTAAATATTTCAGGCTGTATTCAGTTTCCCGATAAAAAATGCTATTTACCATTTAAAAAAAACAAAAACATGTCATTTATTCGCCGAAATCAACTCCAACAGATCATACTTCTACATCGATAATTCACTTCCGCATTGCGTTACCCGAGGGTCTTCGGGAATTATCGAAAAATTGCGTCGGTACCACACAGCATTTCGATTGGATAATAACAGACTTGACCCATTAGGTCAAAGGACATTGATGCAGGTCAAATGCAAATACATCATGGCGGAAAGAGTTTGCGTACGATCGGACACAATCATCAGTGGCGATAATGATGAAGATTTTGACTTTGACCATGTTCCAACAGACTCAAATATTTTTAATCTCGTAAATTCGGGTGGTACGTAATTACTATTGTAATAAAATGTGCATATTCGACTATTTCTGTTTCTTCATCAATGTCAATGACGACTCACCTAATTTTGTAATTTTATTTTCCCTCAAACTTTCAAAGATGTAATATCCCTCTAAATCTGTCACATGGTGAATTAAAATTGTCAGTTCCACTCTTTTCCTAGGGGGGTGCTCGGGTAAGTGCCCACCCCTAAAAAAAGACCCTGGGCGCTGACGCGGTCGAGTACGGTATTTCATATTTACTTTCATCACTTGAAACTATAAATGCAAAACCAATGGAAAGCCAAGTATGGTGTTCAATATCTTGTGGTGACAAGAATGTGCAGGTTGAAACAAAAACAAAAACAAAACAGTTTTGTCATGGTCATGAATGGCTCCTTCAATACAGAATTGACCATCAGTTTGAATTTTAGTTTTTTTTCCCCCATGGTCTGACAACCACTGTATGTAAGGATGAAATAAAAATTATATTTGCTCTATTAGAAGTGCATCTCGAATATGAGTGACTATAAACCTAAAATTTCATTCATTGCATGATGGACCATTAAAATATGACTTAATAGGTGATTTTCCGTACAATTGCGAGATCTCGCGCGATGCATGAAAGACGCGCATCGAACGTCTGCCGCAAAAATCGAACGATTTGATTTTGAACTAGAATTTCTTTATTTCGTAGCTTACATTGACCGGCCGATCTTTGACAGAGGAATATTGCTTCCGAATACCCTTACTTAAGGTAGCGAGAAGGGTTTTGTGACGTTTTTAAATAAAACATTCTCTGTCTGTTGTCTCGTTCAGAACAGTAATTTAGGTTATATATATCAAAAGACTAAGTATAGAGGTACAAGTTCGCACAAACTGGGCAGTCATTGTTTACATAATTATCACGTGACATCAAAAATGGCGAACCTTGTAAAAATGACTAAGTTGCGAGAGCACACTGGGAATTTCCTGGTGAAATTTACGTCATGCATTGTCCGTAATCAAGCCCATTGAAATGCGTCTCCGATAATCAAAAGAGCTATTATTCCGATTTCTATGCAGGTTTGTTTTTTGTCCTTAAATTATTTCATACTTGGCACCTTTAACAGACTATTATTCTGTGACAAAGCATTTTCTTTAAAAACCCAGACATATTTCGCACCATCATTATCTTTTGAACGATAACTGCGAGTTTGAATGTCCTCGTCCAACGCACTTGATTTGGCGGCGGTCCCAATCAGTCGTACTCGATCAAAACTTCAACTCGAGAAAAACGCGAAAAACAGTTTTGGTTACCAAAACACTGTAGATTTGCTGCATTATTATAAATATACACTAAAAATGGCCAAACATA